GCAAGTTGTTCACATCCTCCTGTCTACCCTCGTTTTCTAAGAAACTGATGATATAGAAGAGTGCTGCTGGGAGGTTAATGTTTGCCCATTATTTGAGAGTGATTTGGTAAGGAGGATATTAGGTTTTTTTGGTTTCTTTTTCTGTTTTTCTTTTTGGTTGAGGTCATATTGGCTTATAACATGGTGTAAATTTCACGTGTACATTATTATATATCAGTTTCTGTATAGATTGCATCTTGTCCACCAGCAATAGTCTAGAATTTATATGTCACCATATATATGTGCCCTTTTATCCCTTTTGCCCTCCCGCTACCCCCTCCTCCTCTGGTAGCCACTAATCTGTTCTTATCCAGGTGTTTGTTTATCTTCCACATACGAGTGAAATCATACGGTATTTGTCTTTGTCTGACTTATTTCGCTTAGCATAGTACAGGAGGATATTAGTTTTTAGATGGAATCAAACACTAGATATCTTTGGTCTTTTCCATAGGTCTAACTTTCAGAGCACAGTAAGAAAGGAGGTTTGATTGTTTTAGTCGGTAAATGACAAAGTTATTAGCTTTCTGAGGCTTTTAAGAGTGGGGTTTGAGCGAAGTTCTTTGTCATCAAAGGCAGGGGTGTTTTTTCAGTAATCAATAAATAAAAATTTGTTGTATTACCTAGGTCTTGTTTGAGGTCTGACGGTTGGGTTGTTTCAGTTGCATCTTTGAACTGTGAGAAGCAGTATTGTTTGATATCGAGTGTGAGTTCTGGACCTAGAGAAGGCTTTGGCACACTTTCTCTGAAAAAGGTCGTGTATTAAATATTTTATGCACTCTCAGCTACATATGTGCATATTTTTGTTCTAATAGATTTTATTTTTTAGCACAGTTTTATTTTATTTAATTATTTTTTTTTTTTTTTTTTTTTGGTGAGGAAGATTGTCACTGAGCTTACATCTCTGCCAGTTTTCCTCTATCTTGTATGTGAGCCGCCTCAGCATGGCTCAGTGAGTGGTATGTAGGTCCACACCAGGGATCCAAACCTGCAGACCCTGGGCCGCCGAAGCAGAACATGCAAACTTAACCACTACGCCACCGGGCTGGCATGGTTTTACATTTACAGAAAAGTTGCAAAGATAGTACAGAAAATTCCCAGATATCCTGCACCCAGTTTCCCCTGTTATTAACAACTTACGTTAGTATGGGATATTAGTTACAATTAATGAGCCAATTTGATATATTATCTTTAACTAAAGTCCATGCTTGATTCAGATTTCCTTAGTTTTTGCCTAACTTCTTCCTTTGTTTCAGGAGACCATCCAGGATACCACATTACATTCCGTTGTCATGTCTCCTTAAGCTCCTCTTGGCTGTGACAGTTTCTCAGACTTCCCTTGTTTTTGATGACCTTGGCAGTTTTAAGAGGTACTGGTCAGGTATTTTGTAGGATGCCCCTCTTTTGGAATCTGATGTTTTTCTCCCATTTAGACTGGGTTTCGGGGCTTGGGGATGGAAGATTACAGAGGTAAATCACCACTTTCATCACATCATGGCAAGGGTACCTGCTGTCAACATGATTTATGATTGTGGAGGTTGAACTTGATCACCTGGCTGAGGTAGAGTTTGTCACTTTTCTCCACTGTACAGTTACTCCTTTTTTTCAAAGACTGTATCACCCTGAGTGACAGACACGTATTTCGGAACCCCGATTACTAGAGCCTAGTCACTCTGACCCTGCTTCTGTCATCACATTTTTCTGTCTCTTCTCACCTCCCTCATCAGCTTTTAAGGACTCATGATTACATTGGGCCCACCTGGATAATTCTAGATAATCTCCCTGTCTTAAGGTCAGCTGATTAACGACTTGAAGTCTATTTGCAACCTAACTCCCCTTTGCTATGTAATGTAACACATTCACAGGTTCCAGGATGAGGACATAGACATCTTTGGGAGACAGTTATTCTGCCGACCACAGGCCTATCCATTCAGAGTTCCCTTAATGACAGCAGTATACTCGCTTCCCCTTAACTGTGATCCTTTTCTTTGTTAATTTTTTTTTTTAATTTGGGACTGTCTTAAGTTATATTTCTTATAATGGGATTAATGCAGGCCTGCTGCAAAAAATTCAGTCCCCTAAGGAGCTCATAAAGAAGAAACTAAAGAAGAAACTCAAAATTCCCCATAACTGTACCGTCCAGGTGTGTATTTTTCCAGCCCTCCCCTCCCCCTCTAAGCATACATGTGTGGTTTAGTTTCTGGAGCATTGAATCTTGCTAATTGATCATGTAAATGAGCCAAAGACTCTCCAAATCTTAGTTTGTAAAAGGAATCCATCTCAGCTGTGAGTCACATTATACCTGTGTGCGTGTGGGGAGGGGAGAGGCATGCGGTGATCCCCTTCTTGCTTTGAAAAAAAATCTCTCACATATTTACACCTTAAAGGTTTAGAGATGAATCATTTGGAACTAATCTCAGGGCAACAAGTTATGAAGAAAGACAGCCTTTCAGAATTGGATTCTCTAGGATTTTAATATTTCTTTCACAGAACATGACAGTAATCCCTGAGACTTTACAAATGTGGACTGTACAAGTATCATTTCCAAGGGCAGATATATGAAAAAAGTATAAGATGGCAATAGTTTAAAATATTTACATAAATCTCCCGTATCACATAGAAGACAAGGTTTAGCCACTGCTGGTGTTCTCAATTTGGCATCTTCTCAGTTTAGGTTCTTTGAGCTGGATTTTTGATACAGAATCATGTCTGTCCCTCTTATTGTTGGTGAGGAGGGAACATTTCCTCCTTGTAATGTCTTAGAATCTTTCTTTGCTTGTGTTGTTAATTAAAAAGAACTTCAGGGCTGGCCCCGTGGCTTAGCGGTTAAGTGCACGTGCTCCGCTGCTGGCGGCCCAGGTTCGGATCCCAGGCGCGCACCAACGCACCGCTTCTCCGGCCATGCTGAGGCCGCGTCCCACATACAGCAACTAGAAGAATGTGCAGCTATGACATACAACTATCTACTGGGGCTTTGCGGGGGAAAAAATAAATTAATTAAAATAAAATTATTAAAAAAGAAAAACTTCATTCTTAAGAGCCTCTGAAAGTTTTTAGTTAGCATTGATTATATAGACAGCAAGTTTGAGAAGCACATATTTTAACATAAGGGAAAACAGCAGGCTTGAGTTTCTTTTATGAAAATGGATTAAAGGATGTGTAATGTTATTGATCTTCATTCATAACAGTTAACTTGTATTAAATGATTGTTACATATTATTGTGTATTACGTAGCTTATCTTCTTAATAGTTGAGACAGTCATACCTGATAGGTACCATTTTTATCCCAGTCTCACCTGTGGGGAAAAGACACTGTGGGGTTAGTAACTGTCAGAGCTAAGATCACATCCTAAACGTCAGACCCCAGAGCCTTGTTGCTAACTTCACCAAGACCTCTCCTTCCCAATTATGCAAACCTTTTTAAACCTACCTTCTTCACTTGGTAATTCATCTTAAATTTCATTCTCAGTTAATATGAATCAATATTATTATAAGTTAACATATGCCGTTATAGCAAACCATAATTTATTTAATCTGCCCTCTACTGTGAGATACGTATATTTCTATTTTTTCATTTTTTAGAATGATTCTCTGGAAAATCTGAATAAAATCGATGAATTGTCAGTGTCCTAGTGGTGATATTGTACTATAGTTTTGCAGTGTATTAGCATTGGGGTAAACCAGGTAAAGAGTACACAGGATTCCTCTGTATTATTTCTTACAACTGCATGTGAATCTACGTTTATATCAATTTTAAAAAAAAAAGTTCCAGAAAAAAAATTCTTTCAAGCTCCTTGCACAAGTATTTGTGTACTACTGTAGCTGTTTCCTTGGGATAAATTCTGAGAAGTGGAATTTTGAGTCAAAATCATACTTCTGTTAAGTACCAGCCATGTGCCTGACCTTGTGGTATTAGTACTTGGAATGACAGGAGGACTAGAAGGACATTGTTACCTGTGCATCGCTTAGAATCTAGAAAGGAAGGGAAGAAGCACAGGGCAGCCTGTGGAAGATTACAGGTGACAGGCCCAGAGAGGTGCTAGTAAGGGGATATTCCCACTGTAGCCACTGACGCCAGGTCATGACCAGATAATTCTGAACACATGGGTTCTATGTGGAGCTAAATGGAGTTTACTTTCTAAGTTCTATACCTGACTATTTTTTCCAATAATGTTTGATACAAAGTGAAGACTAATAGGGTAAGATGATTTAGCAGTTGTCTCCAGGACATCATGGCTGAAAGGACAAGTTCACGAGTAAAATCCACCCTCCCGTCAAGACGTAAAACTAAGCAGCATCAAGACAACTGCCAGCATCTATGGCATTGTTTAGGATTTTAGCCATGTTTCTAGTCAGTGCTCCAGCATGTGTGGGCATGTGTAGACATCAAAGAGTTGGTTTAGGTATTAAGAAATGAAAGGAAACAAAAGTCATTCAGTAAACTAATCCAAAGATAATATATTCTGAGCTTTTTCTGCAAGTTCAAGAAGAGACTGTTTAAAAAAGAGAAAGTTTCTCTGTCTTTTGAGAGTCTGACTGCTTCTTAATAAATTTAAAAGAATGCACACACATTTGTATATGTCAAGCCAGTGCATGGCTGTTGTTAAAAGGCCCAATGAGGTATACTTAAAACAAGAAAACCAGGGTCAAAGGATGTGTCAGGATCGTGGAGACCACCACCAGGTTCAGTGATTCTCTAAATGGACTCACAGGATTCAGTGTATAGTCTTAGTCCTGGCTAAGATTTATTATAGTGAAAGGATACACAGCAAAATCAGCGAAGGGAAAGGCGTATGGGACAAAGTCCAGAGGAAACCAGGCATAAGCTTCCAGGAGTGCTCTCCCAGTGCCGTCACATAGGACGTGCTTAATTCCTCCAGCAAGGAGTTACGACAGCAGTATGCAGTGTAGTCTACTAGGGAAGCTCCCCTGAGCCTAGGAGTCCAGAGTTCTTATCAGGGGTCAGTCACATAGGCACCCTGTGCCTAACACATAAAATTCCAGAGTCGGAGAAAAGCAAGTGTTCAGCATAAACCACATTGTACAAACAATTTAAGAACTGGAGCCACTCTTATCAGTTAGGGAATGTGGGAACACTCTGGAAGCCCAGCCAATCTTGCAAGCAGGCCTAAGGATAGCAGCTTCAGACCAACTCTTAACTCTTTTCTGCACAAAGGTTCTCTTTCCAAGCTTTTTCTATATCTCTATTTTTAGTTTTATATCTTTCTATTGACGTCTTTTGTGTGTTTGTGTATGTGTGTGTCTATATATATATTCATATATCTATGTATGTATATATATGTGTATATATATTCATATATCGCATTTTACAAATGTATTATTGTATCATTTTGTTTTGGTAGCTTGATTTTCCTGCACAATATATCTGAAATATTTTTCATGTCTTTAAGTGTTTCTTCCAACTTGGCATTTAATAACCACTAATACCAATGTTTTACTCTAATATTCTGCATGTATTTGTGTGGTTAGGTTTTTGGAATGATGCCTGAGCAGTTCCTCCTCCACTCCTTCCTTCCACCTGCCCTGTCTTGACTGTCATCACTCTATCTAGAGGCAGAATAAGTTCGAGTTTAAATGATGCAGCCCTCCTTCACTTGGACGGTGTGACTGTAGGAAGCAGGGTGTGCTCAGAGTGAGACCGAGCACCCCAAACACACCCAGTCTCAGGTCCAGATCACACTCCCTCTGCCCAGAGTTAGCCAGACTATGAGGTTTAGGGGCACAGTCTCCACACAAGACCACCGTCAGTGCTGACACCAACTGCAAGTTAAGTTTCCTGAATCCACCCTCAGGTTCAATAATTCAGGACTGAAAGGACCATAGAACTCACTGAGAGTTGTTCTACTCGTGGTTACAGTTAATTACAGGGAAAGGATACAGATTAACATCAACCAAGGAAACGAGCACATAAGGTGAAGTCCAGGAGGGTTCCCATCACGGAGCTTCCAGCGTCCTCTCCCCATCACATCAGGACTCGTGATTCTGCCGACATCAGTGTATGACAAGATGCTCAGAGTATGCCAACCAGGGAAGCTCACCTGAGCTTCAATGTCCAGGGTTTTCGTTGGGGCTTCATCACATAGGCGTGATTGGTTGACTGATCATGTAGGCATGATTGATTGGTTCATTGCCCAGGTGTTAATCTCGGTCTCCAGGTTAACTGATACCCCATGACCCAAAGCCCCACCCTGAATCACCTGGTTGGTCTCTCTGGCGTGGCCAGCTCCCACCCTAAGGCTGCTGGGTATGGCCAGCCCCTACCCAAAACAAAGACATTCCTATCAGGAGTGATGTAGGTTACCTCTCAGAAGCTGAGAGCAAAGGCCAGACATCAAGGCCAGATTCTTAATATGTACCCCCAACGGGGAGCTGGCCAGAATCCTCCTGCTAAAGTGTCTGGGTCTGACTTCAAGGCAAAAAATGAATCATAAAAGCTCGTCGGCTCTGTCTGTGCGGCTGGGTTTCCTGGGGTTTCAGGGAGAGCTTGTTTTTTTTCCAGAATCCTTTTAATCTCCTCCAGTTGTGTTGTGTTTATGTAGGCATGTTGTGGGGGAAGAGGCTGGGGGTTTCTTTGGAAGCAAAGATGGGGGAGTAAAAAGGTTTTATAAAGTCATTTGGGACCAGGGCACACTTATTTTAATCCTTCCTTTTCCTCATCTAGTTCTGGCTTCTCTGGATTTTGTGTCTTTGGTCAAGGAAACCCCAAGAGGACTGATCAGTTCTTGACTTCTAAAACTATGGCCCACGTAAGTATGTATTTCTGTTTCCTTCTTGAAATATGATATTTAGGTCCTGTTGATAGTTTTATGAATTCCCCTGAAGCCTCCTGCCCAAGCACGTCCCATCTAATTACGTGTCTCCCAGTTCGTCCTGTTCCAATGAATGATGATGCCACGTAGCCCTGTGCCCACCTGTGCAGCTAATGCTCACCTAACCACTGAGCTGATTATGCAATATGTCCTTTGTGCTCACTTTTTGTCACAAGTAGTGTTGGGACAATGGAGGAAGAAAGTGCCTTGAGAGAACTATTTGAGTCAAGTCTGTGGTTTGATGTGTTAGAGATGTTGGTCCCGTTTGACCACGTGAGAAAACTAAAATTCTCTGCTAATCTTTTTTCTAAGCAGATGAGAGGAAATGTTCACATCCGTTGGTCTCAGTCTTAGTGTGTGGTGAGAGCTCGAGGTTGACGAAGCTTTTAGAATTGGATAGGGCTGTGATAAGGGCCCGTGGACTTAGAGATCATGTTCTTACCAGGGAACCCGAGACATAAATTTGGTTGTTGAACAGACCTGCCAGACCTCTGTATGCTTCTGCACTATTTGATACCAGTACCCTATAAATCAGGAACAAAGAAAAGGCAGGGTGGTGGATGGTAACAATCAGCAGGTCATCCAGCGCAGAAGTAGTAGACGATCATATACTCCCAGAACTGGGGAAAAACCTGGACGTTGTGTTCAACCTGCATGTAAACCATAATAATTAAGTCTAACCCGTCCATATGATGGAATTAAAAAATGCTTTTGTGGGGCCGGCCTGGTGGTGCAAGCGGTTAAGTGCGCGCGCTCCGCTGTGGCAGCCCGAGGTTCGCCGGTTCGGATCCTGGGCGCGCACCAACGCACCGCTTGTCAAGCCATGCTGTGGCGGCATCCCATATAAAGTGGAGGAAGATGGGCACAGATGTTAGTCCAGGGCCAGTCTTCCTCAGCAAAAAGAGGAAGATTGGCAGATGTTAGCTCAGGGCCCATCTTCCTCACAAAAAAAAGAAAAAAAAAATGCGTTTGTCATTACAAAGGAAAACTGCTTGAAAGATAACCTGACTCGAAAGCATTCAGACATGCAAACACTATTTTTGAATATAAAAGAAATATGTGGGAAACAAAACCCTAGGAATTGTTTTCTTTCCCTGTAAAGGGAAAAGGATGCTGTAGGAATTTATGAGGCAGGCACATAGCAGGCTCTATGCTTGTGAATGGGAGGAAAACTTGGATTGTTTTATCCATTTCCTGACAGGCTGGGGTGATTAAGAAATCCACAGGGTGTAGGGTTTTTTCCGCAGCAATAGGGCTCTTCAGTAATGTGAGGATTCTGCTTCAGTCATGGTCATGTCCTCTCTGACCCTGAGCCATGTCACAGGCTTTCAGTCTGCTGACTGTATCCACCCTGCCCAGAGGGTATCCCTTCCTCTCCTTCCCTTCATCTTGAAACTGTGTCCTTTCATTTCATCAGGGATGTGTGCATTTGTATTTTCAGGGTTTGGTGACGTTCTCAGATGTAGCCATAGACTTCTCTCAGGAGGAGTGGGCCTGTCTGGACTCGACGCAGAGGGACCTGTACTGGGACGTGATGCTGGAGAACTACAGTAACTTGGTCTCTCTGGGTAAGTTGCCTGCCTCAGCCAACTCAGACTCTGCTCCCTGGAATGTCAGCTCCCTCCACTGTGGATATGAGGACTGTCTTTCAAGAAACTAGTTGAATTTCTTCTTCCTGTGCCCAAGGAATGCTTTGAGCTTTGCTGAGTTGGAAATGGGCATTATGCACCTTCACCTCCTCATCCATCAGTGATCTTCCCACCTTCGTCTGGCCCTTCCTGTAATTACCTCTCTTCCTTAATGACCAAAGGATGAATTCCAATTCTGGAATATTTATTTCACAACCACCTTCAGGGACACTAAGCTTCATCCTATGATATGTTTACACCCAAATTGCTATTGGGCCTGCAGGACTTTGGGGATCCCTCTGTCAGGATGGCGGCTTGATAGAGTGACTTGATTTTCTCTAGTAGACTCACCTCTGTGTTTTGACATAGAGGAGGACTGAATGAACAGAATCCACGTAAACCCAAACTGAGCATATTCCATTTCCTACCAGTTGTACCTGAAGTGAGGTTGAAAGTCAGAATCCATGAACTTTGAATTAAACATCCGATGATAATATCTTGTAAACATCTCAGGAAATTTCTTATTTTTCTGTTAGCAAAATAACACCCATGATACTAATGGCTAATATTGTGTTTACTCTAAACCAGGAATCATTCTAAGCACCATGTATGTGTGTATGTATAAATACATTTCATTTCATTCTCACAAGTTCATGAGATAGGCACGATTGTTACGTCTAATTTGTAGATGAGCTTGCTGGGGCACAAAGTGGCATGGTCGGACAGAGGAGGCAGAAGCAAGAACTGAACCTGAGAATTCTGGCCCCAGAATCCATACTGTCAACTACCAAGTTCTACTTGCCTCCGGGGATAAGGCCTTCAGAAGTTTAAAATAAGACCTTTTCCCTCCCTGTCTGGGGTCCTGTTTGTACTTTAATCCTTTCTCTTTTTTGAAGTCTTTATCATTTTGACTTTTAGGTTGTCAAGAATGTGACTAAGGCTCAATCAAAAAACTTTTGAACTTACCGTTTTTTCCCAAGTTCTACGTCACGTGGCTTTTTTTTTCTCTTTGAAAGCAGGCTCTTGCATTTCTAAGCCAGATGCGATTGTCTTTTGGAAGCAAGGGAGAAAGTACGTTGATGGTTGAGAGGGAAAAGACAAAACGACAGTGCAGAGGAGAGTGGGAGCCAGGCTGCCTAGGGCAAGCCATGGTTACGACTGGCAGCCCAGCGGGCCGGGAGCTGGCTCACCCCTGAGGCGTTTGGAAAGCTCCTACAAAGGCCCAAGGCCCAAGGCCTCAGGGAGAGAAGTCACCACATGAACTTGATCTTCACTCCGTTCCCGTCTCACCTTGTTTTCTTCTCATATGTCACTCGTTTCATGTGTTGCTGATGCTGCTGGTCTGTGGACCACGCCTTGAGTAGCAAGGATGTAGATAATGTAATCCTGTGCCCTTGGTAGTTCCTGAAAATTGATCGTTATCCTATCTTCAAGTGTGCTTTTTCTTTTCCTTTTATCTAATTTTGGGCCCCACTGCTTCCCGGGTGCTGCTATGTTCTTCCATCACGAGGCAATATCTGGCGATGGCCCTCTGTGCTGTTAGCAGTCACTGACACCCAGTGCGTAGATTCACAGTATCACTGGGGGTTCAGAATGGTGAGAGCCTATCATTGCTTCTTCATTTACCCACTGCAGTAATTCTTTAAAGAGAAACTGTGCTCCATCTGCTAGTTGGTTATGTAGTGACACTGTTCATATTCCATAAGAAGGATAAAAAGGTTGTTCTTTAGAGAAAAAATTATTAGTTTTTATTATAAAGGGCAGGTTTCCTAGCATGCTCCAAAGTTGGTCATTTAACACTCTTTAGTATCATTGCGAACTCATGGATTTAAACATGTTTGATGTTTTTCGGTCCCTTGCAGTTGCATACTTGTCAATGCTCAGATTTTCTAACCTTTTCTTCATAGGTGTTTTAGATTTTTATTAAACTTAATCCTACACATTGTCTTTCTTATTGCTTTTGAGTGTTGGGTCTTTTTATCCAGAATTATTTTTAATTATATTACTTTCATGTACATATATCCATGTTAGAATATTAATTTTATACACAACTATCCAACTGTATATTTTTATTTTTTCCAGTAGTTCTGTATTTGATTTTCCTGAGTTTTCCAGGTATGTCATCACATCATCTACACATTGTGCTCTTTTTATCTTCATTTTTGAGATTTGCCCCTCTAATTTCTTCTGCTTACTGGCATCAGCTGATAGGAAATAGTAGGACTAATAGTACCTTTTTCTCATTTGACTTTAGCAGGACTGTCTCCAGTGTTTCCTTATTAAGAATTGTGGTGCCAGACATGGACTCTACATTTTTACAGGAGCCCTGGGAGATTCATATTTTTTCCACTAGAGAAGTCTTATTTCTATCAGAGAAGTTTTTGGTTTGCAGTTAGGTTTGTTTGTTTTTGTTTTCCTTAAAAAGAAACAAAATATGTTATTTTTTTCCAGATTTGGAGTCACCCTATGAGACCAAGAGTTTACTTACAGAAAAGGGCATTTATGAAATAAATTTTTCCAAAAGGAACTCAAATGGAAAACGTAAATCCATTGGCCTTGACTGGATGTGTGAAGGTGAGTTTGAAGGACCACATGGCCCTCAAGAGGGATATTTCAATCAGATGATAATCAACTATGGGAAAACACCCACTTACAGAGAAAATACTTCTGCTAGACCACAGCAGAGACTTCAAAATAGGGAGAATTCCTTTGAATGTAAGGAGTGCGGGAAGGCCTTTAGTCGTGGCTATCAACTTACCCAACATCAGAAAATTCACACTGGTGAGAAACCCTATGAATGTAAAGAATGTAAAAAGGCCTTTCGTTGGGGTAATCAACTTACTCAACATCAGAAAATTCATACTGGTGAGAAACCTTATGAATGTAAGGACTGTGGGAAGGCCTTTCGATGGGGCTCAAGCCTCGTTATTCATAAGAGAATTCATACAGGGGAGAAACCCTATGAATGTAAAGACTGTGGGAAGGCCTTTAGACGTGGTGATGAACTCACTCAACATCAGAGATTTCACACTGGTGAGAAAGACTATGAATGCCAGGACTGTGGGAAGACTTTTAGCCGTGTGTATAAACTAATTCAACATAAGAGAATTCATAGTGGTGAGAAACCCTATGAATGCAAAGACTGTGGGAAGGCCTTTATTTGTGGCTCAAGCCTCGTTCAGCATAAGAGAATTCATACCGGTGAAAAGCCCTATGAATGTCAAGAATGTGGGAAGGCCTTTACTCGTGTCAATTATCTTACTCAACATCAGAAGATTCATACTGGTGAGAAACCTCATGAATGTAAGGAATGCGGGAAGGCCTTTCGTTGGGGTTCAAGTCTTGTTAAACATGAGAGAATTCATACGGGTGAGAAGCCATATAAATGTGCAGAATGTGGGAAGGCCTTTAACTGTGGCTATCACCTTACTCAACATGAGAGAATTCACACTGGTGAAACGCCTTATAAATGTAAGGAATGTGGAAAGGCCTTTATTTATGGGTCAAGCCTTGTTAAACATGAGAGAATTCATACAGGGGAGAAACCCTATGAATGTAAAGAATGTGGGAAGGCCTTTAGTCACGGCCATCAACTTACACAGCATCAGAAAATTCATACTGGTGAGAAACCCTATGAGTGTAAGGAATGTGGAAAGGCATGTAACCATGTAAACCATCTTAGGGAACATCAGAGAATCCATAATGTTGAAAAACCTTTTGAATACAAAGAATGTACGGAAGCCTCTATACAACATTCATGCCTTCCACAACATGAGGAACATTCGTGATACAAATTAACGTAAGAAAGCCTTCACTGGTCACTCTTCTACTTATAAAATATCAGAATAGTCATACTAGAGGTAAATTTGGAGAATGGAGAAGTCACCCCTAACGATCACAACATACTCAGTGTAGATTTTTTTACTGGATAGATTAGTTTAATGAATGCGTAGAAGCTTTCCAGTACCATTCCATCTCTATCACATTTCAGGTTCATTCTAGGGAATAACTGTGCTGATGTATTGTGGGGAAGCCTTTTGTCATGGTACATACCCCACCTGTTATCACCATCCCACCTCTACTCCCTGTGAGACACTGGGCAAATTACCTGTTACCACTGTGCATCCTTTGTGAAGTGGGGAGAAGCACACCTAACACTGCTATTGTGGTGGTTGTGTTTGGTACATGTAAACTCCTTGAAAGTGTATCTGAAATATTGTGTAAGCTCAATAAATAGTAGCTGCTGCTGTTGTTCTCATCATTACCACATTGCTCTTAGGGAATTATTACAAGAAGACCCCTATGGGAGCAATGAGTTTAGGAAAAACTATCAAACTTCAAGAAGAAAATGTAGATTATTGTCGCAGTCTTGGGCTACACAGTGATTCTTAGCATACAAAAGACACGAAACAAAATAAAAAGTTAATAAGTTGGACTTTATCAAAAGTACAAAGTTGTGTTCATCAAATGACACCAGGAAGATAAGTGAAAAAGCAGGAAGCAGAAGGAGAGAAGATATTCACTCTATGTACACCTGACAAAGGACTCACGTAGAAAATATAAAGAATCCTTCAAGTCAGCAGTCAAACAACAAATCAGTTAAGGAAGGGGAGGAGGTGGACTTGAATAAGCACTAAAGATCACCAAATGCCAATAAGTCAATGAAAATGTGTCCAGCATCATTACTCATCGAGGCAATGCAAAGTAAGACCACCATGTGATGTCACTAGATGCTCACCAGAATGGCTAAAATTAAAATTGTGTAAGAACAGGTCTCTTTGTTGGACATTCACACATGAGCTGTTCAGGAAGGAACTGGGCCAGCAAACTGGACCTCTACCAGATCCTGGAGGTCCCACAGCAGGGACAGGGGCATGGTGTTCGAGGGAGGTGAGCGGACTTGTCCTGGGGAAGGAGCCAGGCCCAGGATCGAGTATTGAGGGCAGTTAGACTTGGGAGAGACCTGAGCTGTCTTAAGATAGGTCAGTCCTAGAGTGAAGGGAGTGGGTTGTCTTGGGGAAAGGACTAGAGCCCAGGGCCGGCTTGGTGGCATAGTGTTTAAGTGCACACGCTCTGCTTCGGCAGCCCGGGGTTTGAGGGTTCGCATCCACTTATCAAGCTGTGCTGTGGCGGTGTCCCATATAAAGTAGAGGAAGATGGGCATGGATGTTAGCTCAGGGCCACTCTTATAGGATGTTAGCTCGGGGCTAATCTTCCTCTCAAAAAAAAAAAAAGACTAGAGCCCAGGGTGGGAATCTGAGAATATGGGTGGGGGAGGGCTAGAGCCAATGAGAGCGGGTTAGAAAAGCTGGGGAGGGGCCTGGTGGGTGGGAGAGCGCCTGGTGCATGGAGAAGGAAGGACTCGGGAATAGGTCCTGGGACTGAAGAAAAGGAGAGTAGCCTGGGAGACCTAGGGTGGATGCTAAAGCCGGTGGGAGAACCTTGGGCACAGGATGTGGTGTGGTTGGCGTCCAGAGCAGTGTCCTATTAAGGCTGACAGAGAATCCAGAATCTCAGCGTTGGGGTTACATTTCAAAGCTATTTAGTCCTTGGGTTATCTATACCTTAGTGTTAGAGTTGGGTTAGGGATTTGAATCCTCTAGGGGAAGAAGAAAATGAGGGAACATGGAACATGTTCAGGGGGTGGAGTGCCAGACCTGGGTATCAGAGCTGGGTGTCCTTCTGGACTAGGCTTCAGCACCCCTAATAATCATCCTTGTAGGAGATTTCATCCTTCTTAGTGCCCCCTCTCCTGTGGACCTTATGCCAATATCAGCAGAAGAGGCCCAGGGTCCCCTCCAGCTTCAGTCTACAGGCATGGATGGGTGCTGTCCTTCTAGACATTCCTGCTTCAACAGAGAAGGAGATGGAGGGGCAGGGGAAGGAGTATGAGGTGTGTGAGGAGGAGTTGGAAGATGAGTGTTAGCAGGGGAAGGAGGACCATGAAGAGGGTGAAAGGTGTGAGGAGGGAGGACAGTGAGGATCATGGTGGAGATAACACTGAGAAACTGGAAGCCACACGGAGAGAGGCAGTACTGCGGAGGCCTCTGGTGAACACAGCTGAGATGCGAGGACACCACCTGGATGGACGGGTAATGGAGAAGGAAATAGGGGAAGAGTATGTACTAGTCAGGACTCTTGGTTCAAGGAGCAAAAACGTAATTCAGAGTAGCCTAAGAGGGTACAGTAGGGAGAATAAGAAGTGATTGACTCATGCAGAGGTATCCCTGGCTGGCTGTAGCCACAGGGGGACCCAGGGTTCACACAAAACCTCAAGACATCTGCCTTGAGTTTTGGCTCTGCTGTCTTAGAGTAGCATTTATGCTGAGGCTGCACACGGTGGGCCTGACGACACCAGGATCCGTCATACTTAGAGCTTGCAGTACCAGGAAGAAAAAGTCTCCCAGAAGCTTCCACAGGTTTTGCAGAATGGAGTCTCACAGACTGACTGGTTCATGAGTCTATCCTGGGAACTATCCCCACGGCGAGGTGGACTCCAAACGTCTCAGGTGGCAACCGAGCCTCGTAACCACCTTGGAGCTCACCTGAGGGTCACAGACAGAGGGTAGGGCTCGGGATGTTAACAAGAATGTCAGGAGCTCTCACGTAAGTTGATGGGATACTGGACAGGCAGAATCAGCAGCTGTCCACGCCAGAGCAGGAACCAGGACATTCCTACATTCAGATGAGGGTGTGGTTTCAGGAGAGGCTGAACCCCCCTGGGTGTGTGTGTAAGGGCAGGGGCTGGGGTAGCATCTCGAACCTTCTTTTCCTTTTTCAGTTTTAAAATTACCCTTACAAAGAGCCATAAGATTCTGGATTTGGGGGGCGAGGGAGGGTTCATACACTCAGAGATTTATCAAGGTAAGTTGCTAGTGACATGTTGCAACCTTGGCCTGGCTTTCTTTTCTGCTTACTAGTGCTCAAAAGTTTGTCATAAAATTGCCTGCAACTTCCATTTTACATAAAACAGTTCATATAGTCTCCAATAGTCCATCAAAAAATAAGAAATATATGCTACTTTAATACCATATATAATTTCTAATACCATACTTTATATATACTTTTTAAGTGTCTGTCTAGTCCTCAGTTCTGGGGCTTCAGCACACTGTACTATTTCATTAGCATTCTGCACTCAATTCAGATTGCTTTTTCCAGTGCTTGGTGTCACTCATTTGAAAATTGCTGTAGTTTCCAGTACTGTGCAACTCGACCAATATTTCCATTTTTTTTGCTTGGTAGCCTGTTTCAGGTCAGCATTTCAGCCTTTCCCATGTTTCTGCCTCAGACCTTCATTCCCTTTACAAGAAAGTCCCCTTTCTTGCATGATTTCAACTTTAAAAACCTTCAAACTCTGCTTTCTTTGGACTGTTACCTTAATCATCTCCCAGTGGCTGCCACTTGGGCATCAGAGTAGTTCTGACAAGTTCTTCCTCACTGCCCAACAAAGCATCTGTACATAATCCTTGCTTCAGGCTCTTTTTTTTTTTTTTTTTGAGAAAATAAGCCTTAAGGCATCTCCCTGCAGTTCTCCATATCGTGTCACTGTTTATTTGCTTCTGGTGCATATCCCAAACTGAAATTTCTACTGGTTTATTGTCTGTGCTCTCGATTAGAATGTGAGTCCTTGAATCCTGTGATCTTTTTTGGCTTGCTCACCTCTGAATCCTGACCCCTTTGAACAGTACCAGATACATGATAAGCATTCAAGAAATGCCTGTTGAATGAATTTTATTGAGCCTCCTAATAACTGATTAATTAATGATCCCCTTCTTGAATATATCAGCATAAGAAATAGTTTATCTCTTGAGGATTTATCTAAGGAGGATTCATGGAATCTCATCAGAAACCATGGAGACCAGAAGAGGGAGGGAGGATATATTTAAAGTGCTGAAAGTAAAAGCTGCCAACCAAGAATTCTTTATCTGTCAAAACTATCCTTCAAAACGAAAGAGAAGGGCCGGCCCCGTGGCTTAGCGGTTAAGTGCGCACGCTCCGCTACTGGCGGCCCGGGTTCAGATCCTGGGCGCGCACTGACGCACCACTTCTCCGGCCATGCTGAGGCCGCGTCCCACAAACAGCAACTGTGACATACAACTATCTACTGGGGCTTTGAGGAAAAAAAAAAAAGGAGGAGGGTTGGCAATGGATGTTAGCTCAGAGCCGGTCTGCCTCAGCAAAAAGAGGCGGATTAGCATGGATGTTAGCTGAGGGCTGGTCTTCCTCACACAAAAAAAAACACAAAGAGAAGGGCTGGCCTGGTGGCACAGTGGTTAAGTTCACATGCTCCGCTTTGGCAGCCTGGGGTTTGCAGGTTCGGATCCCAGGCGCAGATCAACGTACCGCTCATCAAGCCATGCTTTGGCGGTGTCCTACATACAAAAAAAAAAAAAAAATGGAGGAAGACGAATACAGATATTAGCACAGGGCCAATCTTCCTCAGCAAAAAAAAAAAAAAATACAAAATGAAAGAGAAATGAAGACATTCTCAGATAAATAAAAGGTGAGGGATTTGCCTGCTGTCAGGCTTGCACTACAAGAAATGCCAAAGGGAGCCCTTCAGGCTGAAAGGAAAGGGCCCTGTACCGTAATTTGAAGACTTATAAAGAAATAGTAACTACATAGGTAAATATAAAAGCCCATAGTATTATACTTTTTGTTTGTAATGTTTCTTTTTATATCCTACATGATTTAAGAGATAAATACATTAGTAAATTATCAATCTACATTAATAGGCACAAAATGTATGAAGATGTAATTTGTAGCAATAATATGCAGGAGTTGGAGCTAGCTGGAGTGGAGTTTCTGGATTCATTGAATCTATGTTGGTATCAATTCTAACTACATTGTTATAAATTTAGGGTGTCAATTATTATCCCCATGGTAATCGTTAATAAAATATCTTTTAAAATGTAGACACAAAAGGAAATGAGAAGGTAATCAAAGCATTTCACTACAAAAATAATCAGAAACAAAAGGAGGCAGTAATGGAGGAGATGAGGAACAAGAAAGGCATAAGACATACAGAAGGCAAATAGCAACATATCTGAGGTAAGTCCTTCCTCATGAGTCATTACTTTAAAGAGGGGGGATGGCTAGACTAGTATCAGGCAAAATAGGCTCTAAGTCTAAAACTTACAAGAGACAAAGAAGGACGTCTTATATTAATAAAATCCATCTAACAATTATATACACACTAAACAAAAGAACCTCAAATATATGAAGTAAACACTGACGGAATTGAAGAGAGAAATAAGATCTACAATAATAAAGATCTCAATACCCCACTTTCACTAATGGATAGAACATCTAGATGAGAGGTTGATAAAAATAAAGGACTTAACACTATAAACCAATTAGACCAAACAGACGTACACAGAACACTCCACCAATGGCAGAATACATTCTTCTCTAGGGCACATCCTCCAGGATAGACCATATGTTAGGCCACAAAACAAGTCTCAACAAATTGAGAGGGGAAATTGTAAAATACATTAAGAATGAAGGTCAAAACAAAACTTACGGGGCCGGCCCCGTGGCTTAGTGATTAAGTGCGCACGCTCCGCTGCTGGCAGCCTGGTTCGGATCCTGGGCACGCACCGACGCACCGCTTCTCTGGCCATGCTGAGGCGGCGTCCCACATACAGCAAGTAGAAGGATGTACAGCTATGACATACAACTATCTACTGGGGCTTTGGGGGAAAAAATAAATAAAATTATTTTAAAAAAAACGGAATTCAATGAAAGCAATGCTCAGAAGGAAATTTATAGCAAACACCTACATTAAAAAAGAAAGATCTCAAATCAATAAACTAACTCTACAATGTAAGAAACTAGAAAAAGAAAAGCAAACTGAACCCAAAGCTAGCAGAAGGAAGAGGTTAATAGGGGTTGGAATGGAGAAAAATGAAATAGAGAATAGAATAATGATACAAAGAATCAGTGAAACCAAAAGTTGGTTCTTTGAAAAGGCAAACAAAATTGACAAATCCTTAGCTAGACTGACTAAGGAAAAAAAAAAAGTAATTATACAAAGAGAAGCCAAAGATCACTAGAGATGCTTCCAATCTCTTCTAGGCATATGTGGCTAAAGTGAAACTCATCAAAAAACAAGGCAAATTTGAACACTTCAACATAGCAGATAAACAGAATAAACCTGAGCACATTCAGTTACAACAAACCAGGCTGGCCAAACTTTGTCAAGGGCCATGTAGTAAATACTTTCAGCTTTGCAGGCCACATATACTCTGTGTCACATAGTCCTTTCATTTATTTATTTATTTTTACAACTTTTTAAAAATAAAAACCACCCTTAGCTTCTAGGCTATACCAAAATGGGGCCATGGGCAAGATTTGGACTGTGGACCCCAGTTTACCTGAACACTGCGCTAAATCAACTGGTAAGCATGGGAGAAAATTCTAGAACAGCATTATCCAGTAGGGCAGCCATTAGCCACATACCGCTATTGAGCACTTGAAATGTGGTAAATACACCATGGGTTTTGTAGCCTTCAACCAGAAATAAAAAGATAAAATATTAATAATTTCTACATGTATTATATGTTTAAATAACATTTTGGACATATTGAACTAAATAAAATATATTATTAAAATTTTGCCTGTTTTCTTTTTGCTTTTTTAATGTGATACTAGAAAATTTTAAATTACATATGTGGCTCTCACTGTATTTGTTTGGACAGCGCTATTCTGGGCTACAATTTAGCAGTATTTACCAGAACTTTTAAATGTATATCTTTGACTCAACGTTTCCACTTATAAGAATATATTATTTTTATAGCATTAATTGAGATTTTTCCTATGATACATATACATGGACACGTATCATCTTTCCCAAAAAACCTCCTCATTCTCAGGAGCTCCTTAGTGAAAATTACATTGATCATTGACTTTCTGTGGAGAGATTTTGGCGGGGGGGGGGGGAGAATGTTGTAGTATTACTATGAGGCAAAACTCATGGACAAGTTCATCGAACACTTTCACATCTGGTTATGCCTGGTTACATTGGAGGAACAATCGACCATCTGTCTTTTGCTAAACTACCATGTAATGAGTGAGCTAGCTGACTGTGAAATTTCAAATAAGGAAACAAAATTAGAGTATTTAAGTACTTTGACAAAAGTCTCAGCTGAAATTAAGCAGACTGGCCCACAGGCAGGGACTTTAATGGAGGACATAGAAAGAGTAAACAGGGTGCAGTTGTGCTTCAAACCTTACAGGTAAACAGAAGAGATGAGGAGCTGAAGATGGGAAGGGAGATAGAGCGTGTCTGCAGAATTCGAGATTTTCTTTTCCAGGATATATAGGGAAAGGGTCACTGAGAATGTGACTTCTGAGTAAACACTAGATACAGGTGTCTTAAGAGAAAGATTTCAGAGAATATCTGTAGAAAGTAAAAATGAAGATAAAAATTTAAGTTGTAGCATTACAATGTTAAAGTGTTCCATAAACTGAACAAATGAATCACACCCCCATCCTCAGCACAACCTCTCATCATTACAGTTCTCCCAGTATAGTAATCTGTTTTTTTGTGTGTGTGTGATGAAGATCAGCGCAAGCTAACATCTGTGCTAATCCTCCTCTTTTTGCTGAGGAAGACCGGCTCTGAGCTAACATCCATTGCCAATCCTCCTCCTTTTTTTTTTTCCCCCAAAGCCCCCCAGTAGATAGTTGTACGTCATAGTTGCACATCCTTCTAGTTGCTGTATGTGGGACAGGGCCTCAGCGTGGCCAGAGAGGCGGTGCGTTGGTGCGCGCCCGGGATCCGAACCCAGGCCGCCAGTAGCAGAGCGCATGCACTTAACCGCCAAGCCATGGGGCCGGCCCCCAGTATAGTAATCGTGAACACGTTTTTAACCTACAGGTCAAGGGTATTACCTGTATCTCTAGTTCAAGACCCTTCAATTGCTTTGCACCACGCTGATACCCAAATCCACATTACTTATCCTTGCTGTCATTTTTTTAAAAACTCACATTCAATAAATGTTACAATTCTCTGATATAAGTATCACCATTCTTCCAATTTTCCATATGAGGATATATGGAGATATAGTGACGTTAAGTAACTTGCCCCAAGGTCACACCAATACTACATGGTAAAGCTAGGCTCAAACCCAGCCAGCCTGCCTCCGAGAGATCATGTCCTCAACCGGTATGTTAAATGACCACAATGAGTGCACCATATGCAAGACACCACAAAGGGGCTTCTATGTATTGACCAAATCATGAGACAGCCCTAGGCTGTAGACACCATCACTGTCCCCACACTCTGATGAAAATGCCGAGGCACAGACAGGTCCAACAGTAAGTCATTAAAAGTAAGGGCTCCTTTATTTTTATGAGTTTTACTCAAATTACTTTTATACTTACCTAGAAATGGGAAATCTAATTAGAAATTTAAACAGTCTTTCAAATAAATGTGCACATAACCATCAAACTAGGTAGAAGTTGATAATGATTTGAAGAAATATAAGAAAGCATTTAAGGGGCCGGCCCTGTGGCTTAGTGGTTAAGTGCG